TGGATTCTCAAGGGCTCAGCCGAGTCTTTCGAAGTTAGCTCCAGCTGCTGGTTCACGGGGGGTTTGGTGCCGGATGTGCCGCAGCACTATAGAACGTATCGTGGAACTTATCTTTGCATGCGGCCAGCCCGCCCCCGCCGGACACCCATGGCGCCACCAGCCAGCGGCCGTCGGACAACAGCAACCACCGCCACCCACCGGCCCGGCCCCCGGCCCGGCGAAAACCGGACACCAGACACCCTGCAGCCGGCTAGCGGCCAGGGGCAGGCCGGAATCTTTCTGCCCCCGGCGCTATGGACACACAATCGTCAGGCTGTCGGTGCCACCCAGTACATTAAGCCATGCAGCTCACAGTAGACTTGCTTGATACAGGACAGGTCTCTCACGCATCGCTCCATATCATGCTTGGGTGCCGCATGGTGCTGCCGGCAGCCTCAATTCAAGGCGATGCACCGCATCTGTGCACAGGCCAAAACTGAGTGCTGCACGGGAATCGGGAACGACCAGTTTATTTTGTGGGTGTGTAGGATCCTTGGCCACGACGAAGCCCTTGCCAAGAATGCAGGCGATCCAAAATGAGCTCAAGGATTCTCACTGCGATGTTGCTGGGAGCCCACAAAGCCGGCAGTTGACCTTGACGGTTGAGGCCTTGTTCGCCGGGTTCGCTTGCTCCCCTGCCACTAGGCCGCTACGCTGGAAACTGGAGCGGCTCTTGAGGCTTCAGTGCTTGTTTAAGGGGTTCGGGGAGGCATCTGCAGTTTACAGCGTGTTGTGTTAGTTGTGTTTGGGGTCTCAGGTTAAGATGGCCCCAACGGTGATGATCACCCCACTGGCTGCAAGTACGATGACCTGCAAGCAGCCCGCATCAACGCATCGGTTATAATTGGGTGTACACTGTGAAGTGCTTTTGGCTGCAATGGTGAATGATGCGGGCTTCGTGTCGTAGCCTGGGGGTGGTACCCAAGTTTACGCCGCACATCCTGTGACATCATGTGACCTGCCGATGTGGACACCCATGGAAGCCCATATCCAAACGAGGCCACGATGGGAGCAAGATGCATGTGGAGCAAAGTGGAGCAGGGCAAAGCCACAAGTGCAATGCGAAGAAGGCCCCGTCTGGCTCAGAGCCAGCCTGGGACAGAAGCGCGGGAGAGGCGAGGTCCCTGCAAAGGAGGCGTCCGGAGCGATGCGTCATTTGCGGCAAGAGCACAGGGGTTTCACAGAGGAGGGGCCCGGCGAGGCAAGGATTGACCGTCGCCAAACTCTCTAAGGGCGGGTATTGCTGTTATCACAGGCTGCGGCCCCCGAAGGTTTACGTTTGATAAGTTGTGCCGCTGGGGGCAGAATTCATGGAAAGGCGCAGGCTGGCAGGCAGCTGGAAGTCGCGCCGCCTGAAACCTGAGCAGCACTGAAGCGCGCACAGTGTAGCCTGTGGGGGTCTCGACTCGAAATGTCATGAAGTCTTGAAGCTCCAACGATGCAACCCGAACTGCGGGGGTGCTTGTGGATATCACGATGGTGTGGAGGGTTTGAAGGGGGCCTACCAAAACTCCTAAGCGCGACGCCCATCGCAAGGCCCTTCCACTCCAAAAGTTAACTCCCCACCACCGCCATTTCGGCCTGAGGATTGTCGCTTGGAGTCTCAACTGACATGTCTATCATGCTCGGAACAGAGACGGAACAGAGACATGTTCATGCAAAGCTCTCAAGAGCCCTTCCGCAGCTTTAGAGATGCGGTTATCAGGCGTTGAAGGCCACTCCGGTCCAGATAGAATCTTCAGCTTAAGCAGGCCTCTGCACGCTCCAACTCAGCGATGTGTTGGGGTTTAGGGTTTAGGGCCTAGGGTTGAGGGTTTAATTATTCTTGGCTTAAGTTGGCTTGGTCCTGCCAGATTTGCCCGACGCTTTGTGGAGAGACTCCCGCTGGAGCTGCACGCGTCGCTGCACATTACCGTCGACACCCTCGTCAGCCCGGTTTCCACAGATAGTGATAGCATAGCTTGCCCGGAGGCCTCCCCGTCACGCCCTGCAGGCTCTGCGGCCTGCTGTGCGCAGGCACTTGCTACAGACTCCTGCACATGCAGCTGCCGCAGCGAGCATGGAGCTTGCCGGGTTGAAGGCAAAGAGTCAATTGCTGTCCTGACCTCAGGCGAAATGCTATGCTCCATTTCTTGGCATGTTGCGATTTGGTCTCCTGTAACCTATAGACCTATATCCTAGTTACATCTTGGGGTTAGTTGTCTGTTGATTGGTTCCGTTGATTGGTTTCTTGGGTGTTTTACAATGGAATGGCAATGTAAGCGTGAAAAGACCCAAGAAACCAAGCACGAACCAGGAAACAACAACCCGGGCTCCTGTTTCATCTCTTGTGCTTGGTTTCTTTGGTGTTGTGAGTGTCTTTTAATAATTAAATGAAGGAGCCGTGCGTCCTTGTGTTCCCCTTACGCTCTTTATTTAATAGGTTGGCGTTGGGCCTCGCTTGGGCAGGGAGCTGCACAACAAAAGTTGCGCCCGATGTTTGGAAAGACCCGTGCACGGTGCTCGCCGCTTCGGATAAATTCCTCGGCAGAAAGCGGGCAGGGCACTCGAGCAACACAAGCTTGCTCGGTAGGCATCATAGTGGTCGGCCATTGCACACTCACAATGTGCACTTGGCGTACCTTTGCGTGCTATGCCCAGCCAGGCCAGTGAGTCGTTGTGAAAAGCAGTAGTCCTTCCATGGTCACGGACCAAGACCCAAACAGCACAAGAGACCCTGCTGAAGCAACTGTAGCGCGCAGAAAGCTCCCAGTTGGTGGACTGTTCTCCAGGTGGCGGGGCCACATGGGCTACAGCGTGTGCTTATCATCTGGGAGCTTTTCGCACGTCCAAGATTTTCCAGCGTGGTCTTAATCCTTGCTTTTGGGTTGTTCTCCGTCACAATGTAAGAAATTGCAGCCCACCGTGCTGTGATCAGGAACCCTGACCTTCATGGCTGTGAAGAATATGCCCACAGATGCCCGATAGGCTTCACGGCACTACTCGCCCCAGCGGCTCCACGGGAGTTTTTGGCTCCTCACCCGTTCGACCTTAAGTGGGAATGTTACGAATCTGGAAAAGCCAAGCTTCTCGGGGTCTTCGTCGTGCCTCGGCTTCACCAGTGGACCTCTGGCAAAAAGCGGCGCCTTGCCACCTGGCCATGCAAACCACGAGCTATATAACTGCGCAGATGACAACGTGGATTCGAGGCGCAAGACTACTACGCTGTGTGCCTCTGATAGCCTGTCCCTGGAACAAACCACCTTCTTGCCTCATTGCATGGGGCTGGATTGTGGACATCTGGTCAGGTTTTGTTCTTGTGTGAACATTCCCCACTATTTTTTGAAAAGTTACACTCGTCAAGCGGTTCATCAAGTCAAGCGATTTTTTGCCCTGCTGGAAGCTACCAGCTGGAAACCCTTCCACCGCCAAACCGACTGTGTCATTTGTATTGTTCACGCTGCGTGTCAACTTTCATTTCAGACGTTGCGTGCTGCTCACGCTGCTTCTCATGGATGTTCCAGCCATGTCCACCTGTAGTTAGATGTTCATGTCCATGCATCACGGCAGATTTGCGTCAGCCCTCCACTGCACATCTAGCAAAACAGGAAACACAAATCCAACACTTGCCTTTTGTGTGGAAAACTTCTTCTCGATGATCAACGCCGCCAGATTGAAACTCTTCATGAACAACCCGACCTGCAAAGCAGAGCATTGACAGCGTTTGGAGCTTTGGGGTTGAGTCACATACCACCAACCCTGTCATGCATTGAATTACAAGTCCAAGGCCTGTTGGACAGGAGCTCGCCACTCAAGCACCCCACCATGGCGAGTATCGCACTAGCTTGGGCCCGAAAGCAATGTAGGGCGTAATTTGTGTTTGGTTCGCATGAGGTCCCGAAATAGCATGTCTAAGTTTTACCATAGTGCCCTGGACGTACAACGCTTTTATTTCCTCACCAAATAAAAACAATTTTCCATTACTCCCCAAAATTCATATCCAATCTGTAATGTAAACTCGCTATCTCTTGAAACACTTCGGACTGTTTTTTCCGCTATGATCACATAAGGCATAGGGATAGACCGTAAGTTTGTTGAAAAGGTCTATGCAAGCATGAGTGACATTTGCTCCAACTTCAACTGCCTATGGCAGGATGGTTCGCTTTTCCTTCAGTTCTATAGCTGTGTCAGCGCGAATATATCATTGGAAATGCAGAGCGGACAATGTTCAATATGTTTTCCGTTCTAGCCGATGGCGAGTACCAGGTTGTGCCAGGAACAGGAGCACTCCCTAGTAAGACGCGGCACAAGAAATCCCCAGACTCCTCTGAAGGTGCGCTGCGCCAAGAAGGCAGAGACCCGGCCCTGATACTCACAGCAAACTGCTGTCGAAGAGCCAGGCCAGCTGCCCGTCGCTCATGCGGGTCGGTTGCGGACAACAACTGCCGAGTGGCATCCGATGGTGGGGCACAGAAGAGCACCTGCAGCGAGCACCCAGAGACGTAGTGGACAATCTGAGCCACAAGATTCTCAGGAAGCGTGGTCATGGCTCGAGCCTGCACTCAGAGAACCGATGCGGCTGCGAGGATGCAAAGCACGTGCCAGGCAAGATGATCACATCCACAAGCGCAGCTTCCCACCGACTTCTAACATCAAGCCTGCTCCTCAAAAAGTCTTGAGACAGGAGCACACCTCGTGAGGAGGCGTCTGTTTTCCCCACATCATTTGTGCGGGCTTTTAGTTTCTAGCTTGCACTCCCGCCGCCCGCCGCCTGCCTGCCCGCCCGCCCGCACCCACACCACCAACCAACAAACATGTTAGACTGTAACTACCCCTAGGGCCCAGGGATTGCGAGTGCATTGCTTGTGTCAGCAGGCATGAGATCTGAGGGCACGAGCATAGCATGGCCCCTGCAAGGATGACACGCACAAGATTGTGCAACGACTGCAGCCCTTTGCGAGCAAGAAAAGGAGTGAATTTTCATGGTAGCGGAGCCACGGCTCCTGGCCTTTGGGAAGGCCTCTTCGCTCCGAGTGACTGCGGTCACTGCATGGTCCTCGCCCGCGCCGTGCTGCCTGTGCTGAGCGGCTGACGGCGGCGGCGGCCCGACCTCGAGACCTTCGACCCGATCCCGGGCTCCGTGACGGAGCTCCCGTGGTGGCGCGTGGTCGCTGCCGGTGCCTGGCCAGGGATTTTCCCCGCCCGCACCGAGCAGCTGGACAATGGTGCAAGCAAGGGCAGTGTCGGATGCAGCCCAGGCGGCTGCCCAGGCCACTGAAGCCGCGCAGGCGGTGATGGCGAGCGCCCACGAGGCGAGAAGGATAGAGGCACTTTCGCGCTTCTTCCAAAAGCCTGACATGTACAAGCCCGACACCAGGGAGCAGGAGATCGACCAGTGGACCGACTGGCGGCACGTGATGCGAAACTAGTTGGGCGTCATAGACGCCAACTACCTCACGGAGATGGACACGGTGGAGGCACGCACCAACGAGGAGGCCAACCTGAATGCCACGACGCACCCAGACGCTGCAAGGAGAAGCCGGGAGCTCTACGCGATCCTGGCCAGCTTCATCCGGAACCGGCCCTTGAAGATCCTCCGGAACGTTGCCGGCTCCAATGGGTACGAAGCTTGGAGGCAGCTTATGCTGGAGATGCAGCCGAAGACGCGGCAGAAGCAGCTGGCCCTGATGACGCAGCTGAACAACATGACCTTCGACCCCAAGCGGTCGCTCAACGAGCAGCTGGGGAAATTCGATGAAGTGGTCCGGGAATATGAAAGGATCAGCGGCACCACCTACCCCGACGACCTTCGTGTGTCTACTTTGGTCAGCGCTGCGCCCGGCCCTCTCCAGGTCCAGTTGCACATGGCACTGACCCCTACCACAACCTACAACGAGCTCAAGGAGAAGGTGCTGGCCTACGAGCGCTCGACGACCAAGTGGCACGCTTCGTCGGGACTCCAGTTCCCAGCCGTGACCGCGACCACCGACACCAGCGGCCCCATGGAGATCGACGTGGTGACCCATGGCGGCGGCAAGAAGGGCGGCGGCAAGAAGGGCATCAAGAAGGACAAGGGCGGCGGCAAGGGCAAGGACAAAGGCAAAGGGAAAGCAAAGGGAGGCGGTAAGGCCGGCCCAATGTGAAGTGCCACACCTGCGGCAAGCAGGGCCACTATATGCGAGACTGCTGGTACAACCAGCCTGGCGGCGGCGTGCACCAGGTGCAGGAGGAGACCGGCGCGCCATCTACCCCGAGCTCTTCGGCGAGTACGGTGGCACATCCACAACAGACGCCGGTGACTCCGGCAGCCAAGGCGGCGCGGCGCATCAAGCTATCGACTCCCCCGACGGCACCCCACATGGAGATCTTCGACATCTCGGAGGACACCGTCACGGACTTTGCGCTCGAGCCGGCCGCCCCATACTTCGTGCAGATGGTGACCGCGGCGGCTGTGGAGCGCGAGGGCGAGGAGGACACCCTGATCATCCTCGACTCCGGCGCCGACGCCAGCATGGTGCCCTACTCCTTTGGCGCGCGCGGCACCCCGGCCGAAGGGAGCCCACCAGTGCTCCAGGATGCCCAGGGCAACCGGATACATGGAGGCACGCATCGCAAGTTCGACTATTGGTTTGCGGCCGGCGACGGACGGCGCTTTGCCGTTCGAGAGCAGTGTGTGGTTGGGAATGTGCAGGTCCCTCTGCTTGCCATTGGGAAGTTGCTGCGGCGAGGATGGCAGGTGATCAACGACGGCGAGGTCAAGCTCCAGGACCCCTTTGGAAGGTCAGCCAGGGTGGCGTTCCGCCACAACAGCCTGGCCGGCCCTGCGAGGCCACATAAGGAGCGTCACCGCGACCCCCGGCCGTCCGGGCCCTGACCGAGGACCCTCGGACCCTGCCACCGGCGCCTCCACACATCGAGCTCCCCGACTATACCTCCAAAACATCGTTGGCATCAAGGGCCACTACTCCTCCCAGGCATACCGTCTGCTTGACGGGAGGTGCTGGTATGATGCTGAAGTGTTTGACCACCCTGGTGCGGAAGGTGAGCGGCACATGGATCCAGATCGAGAACAGCGCCGACTCCAACTACGAGGCCCTTCCGTTCGGGCCGATTGCCAACCGCGGCTGCAAATGCATCACCCTGTTTCGGATGGAGAGCTTCGGTGAAGGCTTCTTTGGCGGCCGGGACATGGCACCCAAAGCTAGCACGCGCTTCGCCACCGACCCCGCTGACGACGATATGGACTTCCTTGGCGCGGCGGCCGGGGAGGCCCACAGCCGAGAACGCCGGCTGAACCCACCGAGGCGGCAGGCAGCGCAGGAGACAGGCCACCAGAGCAGCCAAGAGGAGCAGCAGCCGAACAGCCACAAGGAGGAGCGGCCGAGGCGGAGGACCCCGAGGGCGACTACCTTGAGGAGCTGGCGGCGGGCCACGCGGCGAAGGAGGCGAAGAAGGTTCTTGAGAGAGTCCCCGTGCCGGTGGCGGCACCAGCCGAGGTTCCCTCCAAGACGGAGGTGCGCAAGCACATGCTGACACACCTGCCCTACGCCAGCTGGTGCAGCGCATGTGTGAAGTTTCCATCAGCGTGTTCGACAATCTCCTGATGGTTTGAATTGCTCGCTCCACCCCGCCATTGGCCTGATGATCCCCCGTCGGGGTCGTCCTCTGGGTCGTCTTTCGGCCCAGGCTCGCTCGAGCCTCGGCTGTCGTGCGAACCACCGCCTTGATCGTGGGCTCGGCGTCCGACTGCAAGACGATCTGGTCCTGGTCGTGGAGGGCCAGCGTGAACCTGAGCAGCTCCTCCGCGTAGCGCTTCAGGGCTGCTTCCTTTTGCCAAGCCAGCCACAGCCAAGACCATCCGCGTGTCGAGGTCGACGGCCACCAAGTTGCAGGAGTGCTCGGGCAGCTCGTCGTCGATCGGCCTGCCCTCGGGGTCCACAGAGGTAAAGGAGAAGTCGACCTAGACGACCGGGGTCCGGTCGGTCTCCTTGCGTCGGCCGTGGCGGTCTCCTCGGGCACGGGTTTTCAGAAGATGCCCGGCGGCTGCGATATCCGTTTGTGGTCTCAGCAGCACGCGGCCTTCTTGCACAACAGGTTTCATGTATGTCCTCACATGCAGCTCACCCCGTACGAGGCGGCATTCGGGGGAAAACCGTATGCCGGCAAACTCTGCATCTTTGGGGAAACCGTCTATGGCAAGATGGTGACGCCTTACAAAGGCGGCGCCCAATGGATTGCTGCAGCCTGGGCCGGGCCGAACCCCACCAACGGCACCCACAACATCCTCACCGACAAGGGCGCGATCGAGGCAGCCTCTGTGAGACGAGCGGCCGAGCGCCGTGCTCCGACCCAAGATGGGGAAGAAGATCGCCCCAGTGGCGGTGGCATTCCCCACGGTGGCGGCCCCGCCCGAGAGAGATGATGATGAGCACGGGCCGTCTTCCGATGAGGAGGCAAACGCGGTGGAGAAGGCAGCCAAGGAGATTGCGGAGAAGGCAGGCTCGGACACCAGCGAGGAGATGATCAAGGGCGACGGCCCACCGCCGTCACCAAAGCGACGTCCAGGAGGCGGAGAAGGTGGACGCAGCGAGCCCAGCCAGGGCAGCAAAAGAAAGGCCGAGGAGGACTTGAGCAACGACCCAGCGGACGTGGAGCCCCAGACCGGCACCAAGCGAATATTCGAGGAGGTACAAGGAGAGGCACAGACCAGCACCAAGCGGACCCAAGAGAAGGCACAAGGAAAGGCACAGACCGGCACCAAGCGGACCCAAGAGGAGGCGGCCTTAGGAGAAGAAGGCAACCCGACGAGCATCCGGATGGTCGAGACCGTGGACGCCGAGTGGTATACAGCCAGCTTGGCCAGCAACGAGCAGGACCCAGAGATGCCAGAGGTAGGCCCAGACGACAAGCAGCCCAAAGCACATCGTGACTGACAATGCCGACCAGCCGCCGGACCTCGACCCCGAGACCCTCCAGGAGTACGACGACATGGCGGAGGTGGAGGAGATCGAACGGCTCATTGGCAAGCAACAAGGCGCGCGGCAATACCGGTGGGCCAACGACATGGACGCCGAGGACACTTTCTCACCAGCGTCCATTGGGTCCCTGCTGCGGCACATGGCCGTGTTGTCGCAGGCTTGGGGCACGCCCCTGTGGGTGTGCGATGTGAAAGACGCCTACTTGAATGTGGAGCAGCCTGCTGACGCGGCGGTGGTGGTGGACGCCCCGCTCTCCTATGTGCAGCGCTATGGGCCCAAGAGATGGAAGCTGGGCCGGATTCCCCCCGGCCAGCGGCGCGGTGCTCAGGAATGGTTTGTGCACCTGAATGTGGACCTCGAGAAGCAAGGCCTGGAGGCGATGATCGAAGTCCCGACGCTCTATCGGGCCAAGAGCCCTGAGGAGCGAAAGGCGGCCCAGGTTCACGTGGATGATGCCATGATGACTGGCGACGTGGAGGTGGTGAACCCCCTCCTGGACAGCCTGGGCAAGGTCTACACCATTAAGATGAACGGGCCGTTCTACCCGAGGAACGAATTCGAGTTCCTCAAGCGCCGGTTCCGGATCGAGGCAGATGGGTCGATCACGGTGCGCGCGGCGGCCCACTTCTACATTGACATCTTCAACCTCCTTGGGCAGCCCCGGCTGCGACAGACACCCGGTCCCGTGGGTGACCTCTTTATGGTCGACGACTCCGAGCAGCTTGGGCCAGGCGAGGCGACTCTTTTCAGAACGGTGGTCGGCAAGCTCCTTTACATTGCCGGCGAGCGCCCCGACCTGCAGGTGGTGATCCAGTTCTTGGCTTCCCGGGCGGCGGCACCAACTGAGGGGGCACTTCGTGTGCTCAAGCACCTGGCTGGCTTCATGAAGGCGACCGAAGGGCACGGGGTGAACCTCAAGGCGGCCAAGCGGGCATCGATCATGAACTTCGACGCCAACGTCCCCTACGGCAAGCACTTGGTGGAGGCGGTAAGCGACAGCAACTTCGCGACGGACCGCAACACCCGGAAGAGCCTCTCGAGCGGCCACGTGTACATCGACAAATGCTTGATGTTTTCGTTTGTACGCAGCCCGAAGGTGGTGACCCTAAGCTCGGGCGAAGACCGACTCTTCGGTGGCGAGGGCGATTTCAAATCGCCTTGGTGTGGGCAGGGTGAAACACCTGCAAACCTCGAGCTTATGGATCCAGCAGTGGGTCCACAAGAAGATGCTGAAGGTAGCGGCCATCGGCACCAGCAAGAACCCCACTGACATGGGCACGAAGATCCTCTCGGCGAGCCGGTTGCGCATGCTGAGCGGGATCGCCGGCATGGTGAACGATGAGGGCGAGCACCTTGGAGGAGACGAGCTCACCGAGGAGCTGAGGAAGACGTCCGGGCTGAACACGCGGACGCTGAAGATGGTACAGTTGCTGCTGGCGACCAGCCTGCAAGGCTGTAGCCCCACTGATGGGGGCACCGTCGTCTTCTTTCTGGCGGAGCTCTTCGGCGAGAACCCCGCGGCGGCGATCATGATGTTCCTCCTGGCGGCTTTCTTGGCGGCTATGGTTGGGAAATGCCTGGCGAGTGTGCGCTGGCATGTGAGCATCCACATTGGCCAGGGCTCGGATCAAGGGCTTGGGCCTGTGAAAGTTTAAACCCTTAAACCAGTGTTCTTGTTACAACCACGGCGCGAGCTTGGATTCTTTTCTCACTTCCTGCTCCGCTGTCGGGCTGTCTTGAGCCTACGTTTGACCTGCGGTGAAACACTGGATTCCTGTATGTAAATGGGCATGAGGGAAAATTGAACTATCTGTTACGCCCTCATCACGTACACAGCTTTGTCGTGTCACCTGATCCTTGTGAAACTTTTCCTACTTCTACCACAGTTTTCGCATGCTCCTGTGAGCTTCATCTTCTCTTCTCGCACGCTTCTTTGAGCACTTGTTGAACATCTTTATCCTTTTCTTCCTTTGGTCTTCATCCTCAATCTTCAGATGTCCTATAGCAGATTTGCGAATTTCCATTCCACACACGATTGGCATGGACTCACTCGGAAACTAAGTCACTGCTAAAATGCGCACTCACTTTTTCTTCACGTCGCTTTTCGCGATGTAGTCCATTCTTGCACTTCGGCAATCTGGAAACTTCTGTCGGACTTTCTTTCACCAGTCCATTCTTGGCTTTTCAGCCTTGTAGACATTGACTTTTGAAACATTCGTGGTGCTCGTAGTGCTTTGACGTTGCCGTGGGACTTTCGTCCACGTGGCTTTTGCTTTTGTCGTTGCCGTGGGATCTTTCCATCCTCGTGGCTTTTCTCTCAAGCTTCTAAAGCTTTCTTGGTGAAACGTTTTGCCTTGGGCACTTTCGCCCTCACGCTTGTTGCTGGGCTGATTTCCAACCCTCACTTCTTTTCTGCTGGGCGTCAGCAACGCCCTCACGGTTCCTTTGCTCTTGCTTTAAACCGCAACCTTATCTGGCGCAACGATTTATTCCAACTCCTTTTCTCCTCGCTGGCGTTTCTCAGCTCTTTCTTAATCGAACGGAGATACGCTCTTTCGCTTCTTCTCCTTTTCAGCTTTTTCAGCCTTTTTACCTTTCTTCTCTTTATCCTTGTCCTTGCTCTTGGACTTGTCTCCTGGCTTCTTCTTCTTTGGCTCCTTTTCTTCTGCTTCCTTTGGAACCTTTGGAACCTTTTCTTCAGCAATTGCTTCATCACTTTTCTTAGACTTCTTTGGTTCTGCTCCCCAACTGTCTTTTGGCGTGTATCCTGAACCAAATGTCTCTTGGAAGTCTTTTAACTCCTTCTCATACTTGTATGCATTGTCTTCCAGGTAGGTTCTGACGCTGTCCTTGTACTTGCAGATGTCTGGGGTATGGGTGCCCCAGCCTTTATATCTGAATGAACGATAGGACACGTTCTGGAAGTAGAGAAAACATACCTTGCAGAAAATTTTGCATTCGGTATTGCTGCTGTCTGGCCTTTCGCCGTTGTAGAACATTTTGACAGCTTTCTCCATTTCCGGGCATTCCGGAGCCTTATGCTTGTCCGTCGCCTTGCAGTAAAAGCAGTGCATGTACTTGGTTTTCTTGAATGACTCTTCTTTTGGATCTTTCAGCCAATATGGGTTCACCTGCTTCTTCGGTGGTGTCCCCTCTGGCTCGCATGGCTTCTCCTTGCTATGATCCAACCTTGCCTTCACTGCCTTTTCGATCGAGTCGTCTGTCGCCTCTTTGTACTGCTCTCTTAGCTTTTGCTTCAATGCTAGCTGCTTCTCCTTGGAATTCGCTGCCTTTCTCTCTTCTTCAGAAATCGTCGGTCCTCCTTTGAGAACGCTTGGCACTTTCTTTGGCATTGCCTTTATCTTTGCTGCTGGCGTTGTTGGGCTGCTTGCCTCGCTTTTTCTCTTGATCGACGCCATCAGCTTTGCTAGGGCTTGTCGCTCCTTCTCTTCATCTGGCTTTGGTCTTGTGTACAGATCTAGGCTTGTGAACTCTTCGCTTAGAGCTGACAGTAGCTTGTCTGCCGTCTGCACGACTTCTCCTAGCTGCTGTAAAGCACTTCTCACGTTGCTTGTCTTCTCAACATCTCCTCTTGCTGCGACTGCATCTTCTTCGAGTTCTCGCACTTTCTTCATCTTAGCCTCGAGCTTTCATCTCCTGCTTGAGTTCTTGCTCGTATCTATCCATCTCTTCTCGGGCTTGCTTGTAAGCTTCTTCAGCTTTTCTTTCGTCCTCCGTGAGCACGGACATGCTCTCCATATACTCTTGCATGTTGTCTTCCACTTTTCCTAAAAACTCTGCGGTCCTTAAACCGTACCCCGATGGGAGTCTTGAGACGGGGCGTCTCATCTGCTCTTGCCACATCACGAATTCTCTTTCTAGAACCGTTGTTGGCATTGATCGCCGAATGCTTTCGACGTTCAGCTGTCCCAAAACTGTTGGGAATATAGACATTGTGTCTACGTTGAAACCACTTCTGAGGGCTTCCATTGCCTCGCGGTTTTCCTCGTCAGAGGATTGAACTACCGCTTCTTCGGCATCTCCTTTTTCCTGCTTCTCTTGTGGCTTCTCTTCTTCTTTCTTCTCTTCTTCTTGCTTCTCCTCTTCTTTTGGCTTTTCTTTTTCTTCTTCCATTGGCTTCTCTTCTTCCTGAGGCTTCTCTTCTTCCTGAGGCTTCTCTTCTTCTGCCTTCTCCGCAACTCTATCCGCTTCTGCTCGTACCTCTGTTCTTCTTTCCTTGGCTGCTGCCTTCATCTCTTCCAGCTGCTGCAGCTTTTCATCCATGATCTCCCCTTGTTCTCTTATCTTTTCCTGGATGTCTTCAGGTATCCGAACAGTTCTTTGCTCCAACGCTGCGAAGTTAGCTTCCTTCGACTTCTTCAACCTTTCAGCCTCTTCTGCCAATTCCTCTGCAGTTTTCTTGAACGTCTCCAAATCTTCTTCCTTCTTGTCTTCAGGTACTTCTTCTTCATCGTCCTTTTCTGCTGACTCGCTTTCTTTGGACTCATCGGACTCTGGATCCGACGCTGCTTCACTTTCTTCCTTTTTCTCTGACTGCTCTTCTTTCTTCTTGTCAACTGACTTGACTTCATACTGCTGATTAAGAGCTTGCACCTCCTTCCAGAGGTCATCAGCAATTGGCCTTTTCGACCGTTCTGTTTTGAGCACTTTTTCGAGGTAAGTGGTAGCCTCGATGCTTCTGCTGCACTCCATGATCATATACTTGACTGCTTCATCGTCTGCCATTGCTCTTGTCCTATCTTCTTCTTTTTCTTCTTCTTTCAGGACTTCTTTCTTGAGCAAAATGGCTGCGCTTGCAACTTTATGCATAATCGCTGATATGAACATGCACAACAGTAAGCACACTACACTTACTCTTCCCAGTCCTTGTTCACCTTCTTCGCCGAATCTTTTTGCTTCAGCCAACGATAACAACACTGCGGTCGTAACCGTCTGGATAATCCTTGTAATCATCCTTTCATCGAATCTTGGAACACTTCTTGTTCTTTTCCTTCTCACTTCAGCTTCTTGTGCTTCTTGATCACTTGGTGTCAAAAATTCACCTGTGTATCCTAAGCTTAGCATGTACTTGCGTATCTTCTCTCGTGTCAGGGATTTGGTCCCCAAGTCTGAGGGATTGTCCTTACCTGCTATTGCCTTTATGATAAGCTTCGGAATTCTTTGGATCCATAAAAGGTCTACTTGTAAATTGTAAATGGCGTGCTCTTCCTAAGCCTTTTCTTGAGATCAACTGTCTTGAGCTTGACGAATCACTGTATAACATCAGTCTTGGCACAACTCCTAGGATTCTTGTCAGTAATCCTTTCAGGAATACACCTTCGCTTAAGATTGATGTCGCTGCGATTGTCTCAGCTTCGCAAGATGACAATGCTACGCTTTTCTGCCTCTTGCTTTGGAAATGAATCAGGTTTCCATTCACCATGATCACTCCGCATGAAACACTTTGCCTTGACTCTCGATCTGCTGCCCAATCACTGTCGCTTATCACTTCTATGAGCGAGGGAACTTTGTAGTTGTCCCTCTCGTCGTTTCCTTCATTGCTTCTGTTCTTCACTTCGAGGAAACTTTTCCCGGGATAACTTCCTTGGTGTACCAACGCTAGCTCTGGTGATCCCTTGAGATACTTTCCAACGTACCTTAGCAGTTCCATGTCTGCTTCAACGGGTGATGCGAGCTTTGTTGACAGCTTCTTCAAGACATACATGATATCTGGCCTCTCGGGCGCGAGGTATAGTAGGATCCCTACTCCTTTTCTGAACGTGTGGTGATCCTCTGTACTCAGCGGTTCCATTCCACCTTCTTTTGTTTGAAACGATCTTCCATTGTCCGCTGGACACGGTAGCTTCTTCGGATATGCTCCTTCCAACTTGAGCACTTCTACCAGTCCTTCGATGTACTTTGAGTTCATCGTGATCTCTACGTTTCCATTTCCCATTGACTTGAAACTTCTTTTCAGGAAACTCATCGATCCTTCATTCTCATCTATTGGTCCTTCAACTTTGATCTTCAATCCTTTGCTTCTTAGGAATTCGACCAACTTCTTGAATTCTTCTTTTGATGCGTACAGCTCCATGTCATCTACATGACTCAGCACGATTATTCCGAATCCTTCTTTGTCTGGCATTCTTGAGAATAGTGCCGGAAGTCCACTATCACTTGTTAACCCGTACTCCTCCAGGTAACTTTTCAACTTCCCGAACCAAGCTGCACTTCCGATTCGTTGACCGGGCAACGTGAATCCCAGTTCATAGTATTCTCCATCAACTTCAACCACTGTTGGTTCTTCTTGTTCCACCATCAGGTAAGCATCTCCCACATCAATGCTTCCAAGTGTATATCCTTCTGAAGACGCGAACAGGGCTGATAGTAGCTTCACTGTGCTTGCTACACCGGTTGGCGAAAACAAACTTGCAATATCTGTATCACCTAACCACTTGAACTCTCTTGCTACCAATCGTCCTCTTCTTCTCCACTCTTTGTCCCTGTGCCTCCAGTCATACACTATCTTTGTCGACAGAAACTTGTACTTTGAGATGTCTGTTCCTTCTGGCAACTTGTTCAGCACTTTCATCTTCTCAAGTCTTTCCAACTCGTGCTTCTTGGATACTCCTTCGACTTTCTCTATCTCTTCATCTGCTAACTTTGGTGGTCCGCTTTCAAAATCATTCGACCATTTTGGCATGTCTTCTGGTATCTCTTCCTCACCATCTGATTCTTGCCATTCTTCTTCTTCATCAAATTCAGCTTCCATCTCTTCAAACTCTTCTAACTCGACTTCTTCATCATCGTGATACTGCGGGAGTTCCTTTCTTAGGAATGGTTCTATCTTCTTCACGCTTCTCATGTCGATCACTCTTCTTACTGAACTTGATGCATCTCCGACGGCGATAAATTTTTCTGGTCTCTCTTCAACTTCCGTCGGTCCTTCATCCACTTTCTGTCTCACCGCTTCTGGCTGCTCGCCTTTTTCAAGGTTCCTCTTTGGCGATGCTGGCGGTGGATTTTCTCCTGTAATCAGCTCATCAGTTCAAATACGAAACGCATTTTGCATTCCCCCCAAAAGCATAGCACAAAAGTTCCAGTAGCGTGCAAACAGGAAATCGGTATATATATCAAAAACAAACTCGAAACGCATATGTATCGAAGTGTAATCAAATGTGATTCCAATCCAATATAAAATACATCACATACCGAACTCGCTCCACTCGCCCTATGTTTTGTGCAGTGGCGGAAATCGCAGATGTAAGATCTGAAAGCATCTGGAATCTCGGTTTAGTCAAGGCCCCATTGGGACCCAGATAAACCAGGAAACCTCATGGAGGGACTTTGTCCCCGAAGAAAAACGCCAGCGAATGGTCCAGAGACATTCGTCCAGAGTCGACCGCAACGACTTGGGGTCCGCGGAAGACATAAGATTAGCTGTACCCAGACGCAAACGCAGCTGCAAGATGCATATTGACAGCCGGCTCCCAAAATAGGGAGAGGAGGGTGGGCAAATCAAAAACGCAACAGCTCTCTCGTGAGCCGGCTTCGCTGCGGCATCCGATAAAGATGCGAAAGAGGGCTCCAAGAAAACATGACATGCTGCATGCAGAAAAGGAGGGAATACAAAATCGCACTGGGCCCGCAGGCAAAAGCAAAATGGTTTGATATTTAAACAGGATCGAGTAAACACGATAACCGTTCAAATACGAAACGCATTTTGCATTCCCCCCAAAAGCATAGCACAAAAGTTCCAGTAGCGTGCAAACAGGAAATCGGTATATATATCAAAAACAAACTCGAAACGCATATGTATCGAAGTGTAATCAAATGTGATTCCAATCCAATATAAAATACATCACATACCGAACTCGCTCCACTCGCCCTATGTTTTGTGCAGTGGCGGAAATCGCAGATGTAAGATCTGAAAGCATCTGGAATCTCGGTTTAGTCAAGGCCCAAACAGCAACTGCCACAGCACAGAAACATAGGTGGAGGAATCGCCATGCACGCCCCACAATTAAGTGAGACGAACACCTATGGAAAAGAGGGTGCAAGCATTCAGATTTCAAGAATCGTTCAGGCGCTCTGATACGAGCTCATCGAGGCAGCTTCCAAAGCAGCTTGGCATCGGCTGGGAAAAGCCGCACATCATGACGTAGATCGAAGAAATCCGCGACTGTGAAGCGGTATCTGAAGTCTGGATTCCATGGTGCAGGCAAAGGGCTGACACCATCCCACCTGGACAGGAAATCAGCATCAGTGTTACGTTCACCCGCGATGTGTTGCACCTCCAGACTGATCCCCATGCGAGTGCTTATCATCGCGACCAGTTGGGTAAAGAAACAAAGAGGCGACTTCGTCGTCAGAAGCTTCGCACATATAGACTCCGCACCAGAACTGTCGCAGAACGATGGTACGCAGATTCTCATACGCCCGCCTGGGCACAGGTGCCCAAAGAGAAGCATGAGGCCCACTTGAGCCAATGTTTCCCAGCATGAGATGTCCTTCTGCGATTCAGAGTGCAGCGGAAGTTCCAAGTACTTAAAGTCGGCCAGATCGAAGCGCTCGGAAAACCACAAGGAATCCGAGCCCGGCAACGTGATGAAGCCGCCAATGCCGATCGAAGTACCCTGAGCACAAGCGTCAGCAGCCATGGTAGCATCAAGAGAGCGCTGAGGAAGCATCAGACATTCGTGAAATTGATGTGAACCGCACCAATCAAACCAGAATTGCAAAAGGCGCCTGCTCAGCACAGATAAGCGCCGAAAGCGAGATTGAGGAGCCGCAATCCTCATCCATACCCGCTTGGAGGTGAGCGGAACTTTGGCCAAATCCGATTTCTTCCACAGTTCGATGTGCCGAGCACTCAGCAGCTTAGAGCCCACAGGGATAGCCGTGCCAGCTGGAGTGGAGATGAAAACCATCGCATCTGACAAGCAAGGAGCCAACGATCCCCACCGAGATGGCTCAATGGAAAAGGACGTCCCCGGCGGCCGCGAAATGTCATCGTACAAAGAAGAAAGCCAAGGACGAAGCTCCTTGTGAAGTTGCGTGATCCATTGAAGAAGGCCCAAAGCTTGTTGGATCAGCTTCAGCTCCACTCGGCCCGCCACCAGCAGGGGATTCAGTAGGCCGCGCAATTTCTCCCGTTTAGACTGCGGAACCCGAACTGTCCCAGCCCGATAAGATAACTGCCAGCCTATCCAAAGACAGCCCGAACCCAATTGTAATTTAGGCCAAGACAACCTGATACCGAAAGCTGCTGCAAAAGCCAGAAGCAGACAAGCTGAGATGTCCAAGGCACCGGAGGCCATGGCTAAGATCAAATCGTCCACGTACATGGACATGAAGTGAGCCAAGAACACCAGAAGATGCCATGTTCGCATAAAGAAACCGGAAAGACGCTGCCACCAGTAGGCTGAGCAGCTCATGCCGAAAGGCATGACCCTCTAGAAATAGGTCTTGCCGTTGCAGGTGATTCCAGATAAACCACGGTCCCGCTCCTGCATGAGAATGGACTTGTGCGCAGCCTTAATATCTAAACTGAAGGAGCGAAGCTCGGACACCTGCCCTCGAAGAGGATAGCTGGATTGCAAGTCGCCCAGGCCCGGCAAGTTGTAACGTTCCGGAATGTGGCAAGCCGGGTTCACGCCAGAAATTGTTTCATCAACCGTCAAGCGAGGGTTTTTGTCCGGCACGATCACAACGTTGAGTTTCCCAACGGCAACCTCTGGCCACCTGGAGCGAGCCTCCTCAAGAGTTACCTCCTCCAAGTAGCCGTTATCCAGTTCTTCTTGTATCAAGGATTCCAGAGTTTCTGGATTCTCGCGAGCTCCTTTCCAATTCTCTTGGCACTCCAGCAAAGGTTGCTCCTCCGAAGTTGTCGCCTCCGGCGCAGGAACAAACACCCCGCTTCTCGGGATGTCCTTGAAGTAACCAGTAGGAGCGCCTGATTGGAGGCAAGCGAACAGAGTGTCGTCGGGATCTTCCAAGGCCTCTGACAGTTGCTGAAGTGCATTGAGAGTGTACGGCTGAAAAGGTTGAACAGACCAGTCCACCGGACGGCCTGTCGTGGCCACCAAGAACTCTGAAAAGATGGCCCGAAAGCTTGCAATCTCTCCCTCCGAGAACAATGGAGAATCCGACTTGGCCTGGACATGTTCGCGCAAGCGAATCGGGGCCTTCAACTCAAAAAGCTTCTGTGTCAGAGCATGCCTGACCTGCTGAAGTCTGTCAACAGTCCCATTCGGGGGGAAAGACCAGTCGGGGACTGAGTAGATGCCAGCCCCATCTTGATGTGCGAAAGGCATGTCGAAGCGACCTTTAGCAGGGATTAGCTGATATAGCTGAGACAGCTGGACATCCAAAGGATTTTCGCATGTCGAAAACAGTGGGAGAGCGGCCGATACATACGCCTCCGCGAGCTTCGCGGGGAACTCAGATGTCTGTTGAGAGGCATAACCACCGGACTCATCCCGAACCCCAGCAACAGGACGATGAGAGCCCTCAGCATGTGAACAATCCTTGGCCAATCGCTGCATATCCCGAAAAGAGGTAGCGAAAGCCCAGCGTTTCGAGATATCCCAACCGTAAGCGCAAGCCGCTACCACAAGCACATCGGCATTGGCCTTCTGAAGCAGAATGCGGACCGCTTCTTCCAGCCAAAGCATGCTGTTTGCTGGATTTTCAAGGCTAAAATGCCCACCAGCCTTGTAGGTGGCGTGCAGAAGCTCGACGGCCCGCTCCATCAAAGTCCGGCTGGCGGCCACCCGCTCTTGATCCGAAGAAGAAAGACCTGGGATCCCTGCCAAATGTTCTGGGGTGCGCAAGGGCTTCGGACCAGGCCGGATAAGCTTGCACCTGGAATACTCCCGGCATGGTGGTGACGCATGAGCCGAGGTGACAGCTCCCGAAAAGCTCAATCGCAAAAGAGGTTCAAAAACCGAATCATCCAGAAGATCGTGCTCCGAAGCCAACATTGTATCCACCGAAAGAACAGAAACCCCAGCTTGCAAGAAGGCAGACGATAGTGGCCGAGCATGACCCGCAAACAAGTCCAGGAAAAGGTTCCCGCGCACCTTGGAAAGATCCAGAACCGAAGGTGGAGCCGGAAGAATCCCTGCCCCAGACAATGCTGAAGCAGCCGTTTGACAAGAAGAATCTGGCAGCGGAAAGTGCAAATCCCGCAGCTGCTGCATCTCACTAGCCGATACACCCGGCAGTTGGGCCGAAGTATATGCTGTCAGGACCCACCGGTCCCCAGTCCAAGGCTCCGAACAATGTGGTAGAGCCCCGTCAAAAGAGATCCCTGACCTTCGAGTGTTGAAGATGCAACCGCGCAAAGTTTGATCAGCCTGAGCGTCCGTAGGAGGGACCCGAGGATGCTCCGGAAATGCCGAATCCGCGACCTGGATCCAGAGGCCCCCTTTGTCGAAAGCCCCCAAGCTGCAAGAGTGATTCAAAGAGCCTGGCGCATTGAAATCCGAATGAATGTGAGCGAATTCGTTGTGCGAAATGCAGAAACTCGACCATGTCCCATCAGGGAACACTGACTGTAAGAAAAGGTTTACATACTCCACCAACTTGGGGTTTTCCAAGGTGAAGCGACACAGGCCGCCCAGAGAGCCCGAGCGTACACCGGCATTGAAGTAGCTAGCATGGTTCCGGCCACCCTGCAGAACCTTTGTCCGAAGCAACTGAGTTGATCCTGGACAGTGCTGTTGCAAAACTGATAGACATGTCTCCCAATCCAAATCCTGCTGAGAGCTGGTCTGCACTAGCTCCGCGGCATCGAATCTGCCTGTCCTGACATCCGAGGAATCATCCGAGAGTCAGTGAGGCATCGCCTTATGCTGATGCGCCGGGTGCTTGCCCAAGCAAGGTCTGCCGTCAGGGCGCGGGACCGGACACAAATGCTCGAATTTGCAATCCGTGAAGGAGCAACCCTTGGCCGAAGAGTAGTCCCGGCACAGCAGACGAGTCTTACCCTTGTCCTCAAACTTTGTGATCCATTTTGCCCCAGTTTGACCAGACTGACCCCCGTTCGCACCTCGACCTTTGCCGCCGCCCTTCTGCTTGCCTTTGCCCCCAGGAAGCCTTGGAAGACCAGGTGGGATAGCGAACTTTTTGGGCACCGCCACCCGGGACTGCAGTAACGAAGCCATGTCCCCCCTGATCTCCGTGTACTCTGTCAGAGCATCATCCAAGGACCAGCCATGAAGATTGACCAGATCGGCCATCTGGCACCATAGCTGACGATCTGCCTGCATGATTTCCTCAGCAAACGGATTGCGAATGCCCGCCTCACATTTTTGCGTCGCCAGTTTGATGAACTTGCGCTCAAACTTGCGAAGGCTGGCAAGGTGCGCGCCCTGAAGCATCGCTACAGCCACTGAAACCAAGCCCAAGATGCCCGAGAGATAGTTCGCGCCAACTGCTCCAGCTGGTATCTCGCGCTGGGGAACGTCGTCGTATATCAGCTCTTCTAACCGAGGCACCTTAGCTGGGCGCCGCAAAGCCAGGGAGTCTTGTTGGGCCTGGCTCATCCTGATCTTCCACGGGATCCACCGCAGCTCTCCTTTTTGAATGACCTTAGCCACGTAAGCTAGCAACCTGGCCGACGGATAATTGTCGGGATCTAAGATCTCCCCCGGGTAGCGGGCGTGAAACTGTTTCTGAAGAGACATCACACGTTCGCCTGAAAGCTTGGGGGGAAACTGTTCGGACCAGCTCGAGGTAGACAACCCCGAAGTGATGTCGTTCTCCTCTTGGCGCTTGCCCTGGCGGGATGCTGACGACTGCTGACGGCAAGTCTCGTAAAGCAGTCGTAGCGAAGAAAGCAGAAGCAGGCGCTGAGCAGTGGATGGCGGTTCCACGGTGCCCTCGAGTAGATCCTTGAGCGCCTCATCCAAAGCTGAGGAATCAGCTGCAATGCAGCCGAAAAGGCTGACATCAAATCCCGCGAGAATCCCATGATAATCAGGCGGGACTTTGCACTGATCTGCCAAGGCCACCAAAGCTTCGTTCAGCAGCGCAGGCAGAGCTTCGGGTTCGCCATCCGTCATCACCCTAGCACAATGGTACTCGAAAGAGGCCAGCTACTAATCTGCATAAAGTCTGGTGCCGGAGCCGGCACGCCACACGAGATCATAAGAAGCAAACTCACCCTCGACCTCACCGGCCGAAAAACAGCCGGGACCGCAAGGCAGCCGACGCACCCTGACTGTTTGTCCAAGATACCCTAAGCTACCCGGGCATACCCCGAAGTGAATTTCGATCACAGGACAATAGCTCCAAACAATGCCGCACGCTGTGGAATCATTTGCCGCAACCACACTTGAACGTACTGCACATTCATGTTTCCCCAGCGCCTTTTCTGACATCCAAAATTGACGCCAAGTGTGCATTCTTCAGTCCCGGATGTGTACTGATCGCCCTTGCGCAGAAACAGTCCCCTCGATGCCCGGCGCGCTTGCCAACGCATGCGAGGATCGCCATACCCGACAGTGCAGTACGCAAAAGAGATGCTAGCCGACTGAAGCCGCTCCAGCCACCAACCTATGACACAAAAATTGCCTGACATGCTTTATGTCGGCAAAATCTGGGGTTCGATGGAAGCTCAGGTCTGATATTCATGTTATGCGCCAAGGTGCCACACCGCGGCTTGACCCGAACAAGCTCACCGTCCTCGCGCTTCACCAAAACCCCATCACACCCGGAGCATGGAGTAGCAGCATGAATGATGCCAGACGATGTCTGAACCCAAATCTGCTCATCACATTCCGAGAGCCTCTTGCCTGCCGTCACTAAGGAACCTTTCTTCTTGCCCGAATCCGACGACGAAGAAGATGATGAAGAATCAATGTCCGAGTCAGATGATTCCTGCTGTGCCTCGGGCTGCGGATGTGCCTGTGCTTGCTCCTGAGCCGGGGTATGCACTGAAGATGCCGATGAGCCAGCCTCCACTGGGAAGCGATGATGAGCAGGAGACGAAGAGTAGGACAAGACCTGCGGTTCAATGGCTTGTTGCTCAGCTGGTTGCTGACCGCCGCGAGCCTGCGGGTTCAGCGGCAACCAATTGCTACGGACCCGATCCCAAAAGAGCTGTTGAAGGGAAAGTGCTCCATGTACATCATCCCTGCTATAAAGAAGAACGCAGCCATTCTGTCCGGTTCTGTGATGACCTTGAAGGCCTCGTTTGCGAAAAGACACCTGCAGTTGTGCCAACGCAGCCAAAAGACAAGTCTTCAGGGAATGTAGAGTGTATGAGGCAGCCTCCGTGGGACTCATGCCAGCCAACACCAAAATCCCCCTGAATGCCGATAGAGCTTGCGCGTAGCTCATGGGTTGCCATTCTGTGGAGCTGGAGATGAAGAATAAAGCGTCCGGAACTGTCTCCCCAAAGCGCGAAACAATTGAATCCCATTCGGAACCCAACAGAAAAAGGTATTTGCACACCCAACTATGATAGTAGGACCCTGAGTCGCCGTAGTAGCCACAAGAAACGAAGCCGAATGGCATCCCCCGCCGGGAGGACTTTGTTCGATATGAAATGGCCCTCACATTGTCTTGGGCAGCTTGAATCGATGTCCATAAAATGTGTTGCGCATCGGAGAAGCGAAGGCTGGCCGATGCCGAAATGAGAATTGCGCCCAAAAATAATCTGAACCCCACTGAACCCGACTCCAGTAGAAGGGCACGCTCACAGTAAGCCAAAACATAAATCGGAAGCGGAAGAGCCTCCTTTCTGTCGGAAGTAATGCGAGCCTCCACTCCAACCAAGAGACCTCCATAGAGATCTGGCAGGGCAAGCCCAAACGTCTTGGCGGCCCAGCGAACCGCCTTCAAACCATTGGTGACATGTGAGCCTGACTTGTGCATAGACAGAAGAGCATCGACCACCTCAAGCTGTCGAATGGACTCCCAGCGCACGTTTAAATCCTGTAATGTTCCCACGAACTTCAGCAGATGAGCCAAATATCGAACCAAAGTGTTTTCCGAAACCGACTTCAGCAGATTCTGCAACAGGGTGGAAGCATGACGAGACTCCCCGAGCTCCTGCAACACTGAAGAAATCGTCAGTAACCATGGTTGAATCAGTGCCCACAACTTCAAGCATCTCTGCCAGACTTCAGCGTGCAACATCGCAGATGATTTGAAGCCCTCAGTACCCCGAGGGCGAACCCCACCAACCGAATGGAACTGTGCGTTGAGGGGCCCGCGAGTCGAACCAGCCGGAGCCATCCCAGCTGAGTCCACGACAGGTCCAATCGGAGCCTGATGCCTGACTGGTGCATGCCTGAAATAATCTGCAGCTCTGCGAGGGGCAGGAATAGGAGCAGGAGCCTCCCTAAAGTAGGGTGCTGAACGTCGAGGTCTAACTGCCGGCTGAGACAGAGGGTTCGGCTCAATCCAGTTGCCCCGTGGGCGTCGAGCCGCTTCTGACAAGCGAACAGGATGATCAGCCCCCGAATGCGAGGGACGAGCCAGAGTCTGCAATGGCATAAATGAATCGAAAGCCCCAATCACACCTTCGGACGATGACTCCATTGAACTTCAACCCACAGACCAGCTAGCAAAGGGCGCCCCGCTCCACGAAGCGAAGCAGATCACCTGGCCAGCAGGAGAGGCAGAGACATGTTAAGCGTCAAAATGCCAAAGTGCAGTTCCGCATTCCGCTGACCAAAGTGAAAAGGCAGCTGAAGCAATCACCAGCATTTGTGCCAGAGCTAAAGGGTGCCTGGTACGCAGCATGAGGGGAACCCCCCCCTACGAAACCGGCCGCAATCCTAAAGCTGAAATGCCTATATGCTCTGTTGGAAGGTGCTCAATCTAGCATGCTGCATAAAACACCTGTCGCCTGAAGCATAGGCCTAAGCCACCATGTGCACATGATTGCCGCGCTATGGTGCATTTGAGCCCGCCGATCGCAAAGAAGGAGTTTTCTCACCCCTCACGCAACAAGGGGCAATCAAGCTCGATTGGCACGCATGAGCAAGAGCTCTCCCGCTGTGCACCGCAGAGAAATCCCACAGAAGCTTCTGTGATCGCCGCCAATTTTTACCCCTCGAGGCATCAAAGTGCTGTCGCCATGATGCTTGGAGCACCACTAACGCAAAGGTCGCAATGATGCTTGGAGCACCGCTACCGCAACCCTCTGTTGAAAAAGCCCTGCGATTGCCACCTTCCAGGAGGGCAAACGCATTGCCCCAAAACCGCAGCTTGCCTAGCTAGAGAGGCGAGCATGCATCCTGAGCACCGGCCGTGGCAATGAGCAGTCAGGCCTCATCGAACTGTTCGGCAGCCTCTGCGAACTCGTCGACGACGCTGTTTCTGAACGTTCTTGGCAAAACGACCGCAACGCACCAAGCGCAGAGCACGAAGCATGCGCATCTCGCACACGTCAGCCCAGGAAGACGAAAAAGTTGGGCGTTCCCCACAGCTCTCCAGATGCATAACCATGCCCCGAAGAAGGAAAGCGGGATAGCGTCCGCCCTCTGCACATGTACGCGAAGCTGCATCCAGAAGCTGAGCCACTGTAGTAGACGAAGAAAAATCCACAAGGCATTCTGGAGATCCATCTCGAACCACCTGTAAGCTGCCATGAGTCCGAGTGTCCCAATGCAACAGCTTATCTGATGATGGTTCAGAAGTCGAAGCATTCTGCAGATTTTGCAGCCGGAACCAAAGCGAGGCATCATGGTGAGCAGGAGTTTCGCCATCGTGGGCTGCTGAAGCCAGTCCATGGCCGTAGGAAGCCGCTATCGCCGTTGTCCGGGGTGACTCACACTGCACCACCGACATAGGGCTTTCAGACCGAGGGTCGGACCCAGGGTCCCGAGAGCTCGCCACCAAATTTGCCAGCCGCGACGATTGCGCCTCCTCAGAGCCCTCCTGATGCAAACTGACAGAAGAGGCCATACTGTCAATACCGCCTGCAACCCCCAACTCAATTGGCAGAAGGAAGTGAAGGCGGCCCGCCAGCGGAAAACAGCACTCCCGAGAAGCAAGCCCGAGCTCGCTGGACGAGCTGCTCCAGCCACTGCAATCTGGAGGCCTGGCTGGCTTGCTCTTGCTCAAGGACCTCAATGCGTGCAATGGCCTGCAGAAAGCGATGCTGCAAGCTGTTGTGATCAAGCTGCAAGCGATGCAAATGTGAGCTGATAAGCTCCACTGAACTGGTGGCCGAACCCGAGTCAGAGGCAGCACCGTCGGAACAAATCAAAAACGCAACAGCTCTCTCGTGAGCCGGCTTCGCTGCGGCATCCGATAAAGATGCGAAAGAGGGCTCCAAGAAAGCATGACATGCTGCATGCAGAAAAGGAGGGAATACAAAATCGCACTGGGCCCGCAGGCAAAAGCAAAATGGTTTGATATTTAAACAGGATCGAGTAAACACGATAACCGATTCATCACTTCTTTCACTTCTTCTTCTTCTTGTGACTCCTTTTCCACGACTGCTTGAGCTGCTGCTTGTTGATCCAACATGTCCTTCACCTGGATCTTCGTCCATGTCTTGTTCAGTCTCGCTTGCCGGATCTGATGCCGCTTCTTGGCTTGGGCTGTAGTCCTTCAATTCATCTTCTTGTTCCTGGCTTCTTTCTCTTCTGGGAACAATCTCCGGCTTGTCACCAATTGCCATCTCGATTCCACTGTGCGGTGGCAATCTCTTCGTTGCTTTTCTTCCTACAAGTGTGTCTTGTGTGTAGTTCCATGGTGTTCCTGTTGCTTCTGCTAGCACTTCAACATCATACAGTGGCGTACACTGTCTTATCGTTCTGCTCTTGATGATTCCTTGTCTTGTGCTTATCAGATTCAGGTTGTTCACCGAGTCTTTTCCAACAAAGATTCCTTTCCTCCATGCTTCTCCCTTTTCCTTGACTTTTGGTACTGGCTTTGCCAATACAACGCTTCCCCATGGTGCTAGTGTTCCTTTGTACTCTCTGTCGAATAGCACTTCAAAAGGTGTCGATCCTTTCTTCACAACAAACCTATTCAGCAGGAATGCTGCATGTCTTGCTGCCCATGGATATAGCGTACTTTCCGAAGTAATCTTCACTTTCGCTTGCGATTCAACTCCATACACCAATGTCTTGGACAAGTTCCGAACTGTTTGAACCCATCTTTCAACTTGCAATCCCTGGTGTTCATCTGGTGCTACATCCTGTATCTCTGTTTCAAGATTCTTCATCTTTCGTATTCCTTGCACTTTCTTTCTCAGCGAAATCATTGCTGGTTCTGTGTCAGTTCTCAGAATGACCTTAGAATTCAACAGCATAAGCACTCTGCAGACTTCTTCAACAACATATGCTGTCACTTCTTTTGTCGCTACTGGAATGACATGTACGAACTTTGTTGCTTCTTCAACCATCACAAGTCCGATTGTTAATGCATCTTTGTTGTCGTTTGTGTTCTCTTCATCTCGAGTTCCAGTGAACTTGAAATCCATTGAAACTAACGATGCTTCATTCTTCTTCTCAGGTACATCGAAGTTGTCTTCTCTTGATCTTGTTGCTTGACAGCTTTCACACCAATCAGCCTTTGGTAGGTGCGTCAGTTCGTGCTTCTTTCTTTCTTCTTCAGTTGGCATCTCTGGTCTCTTTTCTCCTTTTGGTTCTCTTGTGAACTCTAGTTCCAGTCCTTTGGAGATTTCAACCAACTCCTTCATCTTGTTTGCTGATATAGCTTGTTTCAACCTTTGCCATATTTGAGACTTGCTTCCAGTCTTTCCTATCTTCAGGAATTCACATGCTGTTCTCATCTCCTTGAGTGAACTTCTGGATTGAGTTCAACTCCTGCCACAATCATCGCTTCTTCCATCTTTTCTCCTAGACTTGGCAGTTGCTCTTCAATTTTCTTCCACTCTTTCATATCTTCTTCTGCAGGCGGTTCACTCGGAAACAGGTTCTCCATGGCTTCAGCTGCTTCCTTTTCCACTTGTTCTATATTCTTCTTTGTATCACTTCCTTCTTTGTGAACCTTCATCTCCACGTCTGATGCTTCCACTTCTTTCTCTTGCTCCTTCTTTTTCTTCTTAGGGACTGTTCTTTCATAGTCACCATACTCTTCAAGTCCCAGAGACTTTCTCTCCAAGATCGTGATGATCACCGAGTTCTCTTCAACTGCGTCTATCGCAATCTCTTCTCGGTCTTCCCACTTTTCAGCGCACTCCACAAACTCCAGTTCGCTCCATACGATGTTGTCACCATCGTACCTCGATACCAAAGTAGTTCTGAACTTGAACGTTTTCACATCATCATGTGTGGGGTCATATGTTACATACTTGTCATAATCGATCCTTGCTGGCTTCCCATCTGACATGAAAAACCATCCTTGATGATACTTCATCTTCTCGAAGTCATCTTCCATCTGCTTGATCAATGTAAGCTTTCTCACTTGTGGTTCATCACTTTCAACCTTCACTTGAGCTCTGTAAATCTTGAGGTCTGTCACTGTTGAGTTTCTTGCAAACCTCACTGGCACTCTTGCTGAACCTTTCTTCAGGTAAGCATTGAACTGATCTAGGGGATCAAGCCCCCATCTAACTTTCCACAACTTGCCTACTGCAAATAGTGGTTGTGTCACATCTCCGAACACAGCTGAATCTCTCACCTTTATCACTCTTCCATCTGTTCTTTGGAATTCGAATGTGATGTTTGCTCTTGTTTCAGTGGTTCTTATTCTGTTGCCTTGAGCATCTTAAATGACACGTCTCAAAGCTGGGAACTCAACTGTTCCTAAGTCTTCGCTGTAGTAGCATAGCGGAAGTACATGACAATCCGCACCGCTATCTAGCACAACTTCAACGAGTTCTGAGTGGCTTGAGTTAATGGCTCTTACTAGATGCACTTCTGGTTCTTCATCATTCTGGACAGTGGCGCTTCTGACTTCTCTTCCAAAGAGTCTTTCTCTTTCTCTTGCATGCTTGGCATTCTGCTTGTCCACTTGCAGATCTTCATGCCACTTGTGAAGTTCATCCTTCTCATAATCTTCTTCATCACTTTCATCAACCATGCTTGAAAGTAGCACAACTGTGTTGACCTTTACTGCTCTTGCAGCATAGTCCATCACCATCTCTTCGAACATTCCTACAAGGTCGACGTACTCTTCATCGTCGTCGAACACTTCTTCAATCACTGGCATAG